GTGAAATATTACATGACCATTAATTGCGAATTTTGACTCAGGAACTGAGGCAGAAGGGTTAAAATTGTTCAGGGACGCAGACACCAAATTTCGATCGAAATATAAATCGTTCGAGCGTGACTTTTCGACAAGTCATACTTAAAGAAAGATAAACTGCAAAAACAATTAATTTTTTTTCAAATGAACCATTATATATATATATATATATATATATAAATATATATATATTACAATGAATCATTCATACAAAAAGTAGATTAGTAAAGTTAATGATATAAAACAAACACAATTTTAAAGTTGCATTAACCTACAAATTACTCGATGAGTGTTATGATCCTTGTTTTTAAAAATTAAAAGCTGTATAAGGTCTTTTTTTAATACGCAAGTACTTTCAACTGTACATTCTGTCATCCTCAGGCATGGAAATTATTTTGTTTTTAGTAAAATCCAGGTAGCATCTAAGACGAACAAATTAAATGCAAATAGAAACACGTTTTTTTTTTAAATGTTATTGTTAACGGATCAAAACTTTTGGAGCGTGCAGTCACAACGCTAAGGTTGAATTTTTTGAAAATTTAAGAGAGTGCGTTTTTTTACTAATATGGTAATTTGAGAATTTTTTTGTTGTACGATTTTATCAGTCAATGTGGCATGAACTAAATTGTTCAATAGAGTAATGTCTCAGTTGTTATTCGGAAAATTTGCACGTCGGATCAGTTCTTTTAAATCAAATACGTGGTGCAGTTCAATTTATATTACAATGAATCATTCATACAAAAAGTAGATTAGTAAAGTTATAAAAAATTACCAAAATTACCTATTTATAGTAAAATTACCAATGAGAAAAATTATCAATAATAATAAACAATACATCCACCAACATGAAAGAAGTCTTTCATGACATTAACCCTTTTAGCTCTGACCACCGCTTTACCGGTGGTAGAGAAATATGACGTAATGCCCAGTCACCGGTTGAACAGTGGGTAAACACTTGTAACAATTTTTATATCTACCGTGAAACATTACATAACAATTATTTACGGAATTTTGATTCAGGTTAAAATTGTTCAGAAACACAGGGCTAAAAGGGTTAATCCATATGAAATATCCCACAATTATTTGAAAAGAACTCAAACTGTATTCCAACATATAAAAATCAATAAAACTACAACATAAAACACACATATCACTACCTCTAGTAATTATGTTCACGACAAAATGTGTGAACAATAAAGATGTAATAAAGCTGAGTATCAACTACCATGTATTCAACTGTGAAAGCAGAATAACATAATCTTATTTTCCTTCCTTCCACGCTCTCAAGAAAATTAAATTTCGGCATTAAATGACCCAATAAGATGTTGATATGTCGTTAATCAAATCCATTCTCGTGATATAAATTAAAATGATTATATTGAATCTGTTGGTAAGAAAGTAGATTCATTGTGTCGTGTTAGACAATTTCTGTCGCTTGAATCATTCTTGGCTATTGACAGGATGCGATGGATAAATTGTCGTCTAAATGACACCAAAATGAAAATAACATTGGCATCTCATTTTAACAGATATATTTACCAAAATTAAACAAAAACATCTCGAAATACTAAAGAGTGAATTCTCTTCTGGACGGTCTCCTTGATTAAGACGGTGAATGCTGCCATAATCCTTGCCTTCAGTTCATCTTTGGTGTTACAAGGAATTTTTTTGGTCTCTCGCTCAACTGCGCCCCAAATATAATAATCAAGTAATTTGCAGTCTGGGGAGTTAAGTGACCAAATTTAAGGGGGTGGGGGTGATGTGGTCAAAGAAATTATCTGATAACTATAACTGGGTTCTTCTCCTTATGTGTGACATGGTGCAGAGTTCTGTTGTCAGACATAACGTCCTCCAGCAGCCACCCTCTTAACCCAGGGCAGCTCTACCTCCTCACGGTACTTGATGTTGGCATTCGTGTTGAGTTTGAGGCCCTCATCAACAAATTCAGCAGTTCTTTTCTTATCAGAGTGAGTTTTCCGAGCTGCCGTACCTTCGTAATCATCATTAGACTCCTCCAACTCTTTCCGAATCCTCTGCACTCTCCTCAGATTGACACCCAAACTCTCTTAAATGTTCGTATTAAAGCTTCCGGTGAGTGAATTGCTGTCATGGTTCTCTTTTTATGCCGTTAATTAAATCCATTCTAGTGATGTGAATTAAAATGTTTATATTGAATCTGTTGCTAAGAAAGTAGATTCCCTGTGTCGTTTTAGACATTTTCTGTCGCTTGAATCTATCTTGGCCATTCATTGCTTAATATTCACATTATACGTGTAGCAGAAGCAATCCTTGCAATGTCGGCTGATTTTCATCCGAGCCATTATTTTTATAGACCTTACATCCAAACTACTTTTTTAAGCATCAGTAGAAGAAATCAAAACACAAGCCAAATAACAATTCATAGTTTCAATCGAACTTATCTTTAACGCAATTTCTTCTCGTTGATTTCAAGTTTAAATGTTATTTCGATTAAAGAATTATTCTTGTGGACGCAGGACAAATGAGGACGTGAGTCGATCGAAATAGAGAGAAATAGTGGGTCTTCATTTTGAACCCCAAAGGTCAAAGAAAAGCCCAGTGTTGTTGAAAAGTCATTCAGGGGCAGTAAATGCGAAAACGGGAATTTACGAGAACTTTGATACGTCAAGAAATCGATTTTGATCACCCAAGAAGGCCAATAAGCGATACGCAATATCTTAATGGAAAAAGCTTCCGTGGCCATGATCTCTGATGAACTGTCGGGTAGATCGATATATCTTGGTGATATTATATAAGAATAAACGCGACATCGAATACTGATCAAATTGGAACAAGATCAGGTATTCAGGTTATAGGCGATAGGATCAAATCGTGCTTGTCTTGTCTGGTTTTACAATAAAATCACGTGACTTCAAGATATTCTACTTCTCTGGATAGGAGAAAGATTGATGACGGAAGGGAAATAAAGGGGTGGGGGTAGAGGGAAAGGGATTAAAGTAATCAAGAAAGAAAGAAAAAAGAAAGAAAATTTAGAAAATAAAGAAATGAGTTAATAAAAATTTGAATAGAAGAAGAAGAAGAAGAAGAAGAAGAAGAACAACAACAACAACAACAACAACAACTGGGCGAAAAAACAATTACGATAAATATAACAGACACACGCACATAGATAGATAGATAGATAGATAGATAGATAATTGACCGTGATAGATAGATAGATAGATAGATAGATAGATAGATAGATAGATAGATAGATAGATAGATAAAGAGCCATGATAGATAGATAGATAGATAGATAGATAGATAGATAGATAGATAGATAGATACGCGGACAGGGATATATAGATAGATAGATAGATAGATAGATAGATAGATAGATAGATAATTGAGATAGATAGATAGATAGATAGATAGATAGATAGATAGATAGATAGATAGATAAAGAGCCATGATAGATAGATAGATAGATAGATAGATAGATAAAGAGCCATGATAGATAGATAGATAGATAGATAGATAGATAGATAGATAGATAGGCTCTTGTGCAAATTAATTGAAACAAGACGAATAATTCCGTTATTATTTACTTTATTTTCGTATTTTTCCAATGAAACATGACCCAAGTGCACATGTTAGTGCATCCCACGAAGTCGTTTCTTGCAGATTGACCACAGATTCTCGATTGGATTTAAATCAGAAAAGTTTTCCAGCCACTCTATACTACTTTGATTTGCACACTGGCTAGGCTTGCTAGTGTGTTCGTGCAGCGTTACAATTTTCTTACGCTTCCTTCGAGTAACGTCCATTGCAGAAAATGACCGTAGGACAACGAATCGACAGTCGAGGCAATAGTGATTGGGCTGATGAAAATCTGATACAATCAAGGATGACGCAATATTGTACAAGGCCAAACAAATTTCATCATACACTCCGAAAATAGATTCATATTACTGCACACCACTGCAAATGCCCTAATCTGAAGAAAAAATAGAAATCAATTCCATCCTGTCACGCCAGTAGGTCAAATACTGACCGTATGATGAAAAAAAGTAAGACTAAAGCGTTTTTTAATCAATTTGCACAAGGGTGTAGATAGATAGATAGATAGATAGATAGATAGATAGATAGATAGATAGATAGATAGATAGATAATGAATTGAAATAGACAGATAGATATAGAGAGAGATAGACGGATAGATAATGAAGAGAAAGTGATACTTACATACATCGATAATGATTGAGATAGATAGATAGATAGATAGATAGATAGATAGATAGATAGATAGATCAAGTATGGATAGGAATCCAACAAAATGACAGGAAAAAGAAAAAGTAGCAAACAGACCTTAATCTAACACTTTTTAAGGCTCATCAAAGATCAAGATAGAAATGATAAAAAAATGATAGACATCCTACTGCATCTTACTAACTTTTACACACAATAGCGCCGAGAATGTTTGCTACACATATTTGAATATTATCTGTTACTTCATGACACGTGACACGTATCTAACCAATAAGAAATCACCAAACACAACATACCATTAATCTGCGACTCTTTGCTTTTCATTTTTGATTATTTCTATTTTGATCTTTGACGAAGTTTTAATAAAGTGAGACGTGTTAGATTAAGATATGTTTCCTACTTGTTCATTATCCTATCTTTATATATTATATATATATATATATATATATATATATATATATATATATATATAATGAAATGGATAAAGTGCGACAATTATTTAATATATATAGATATGATTATAATTATTTAAGTAAGTGCTCTATTTTTAATTACACAGAATTAGTTACGTTTATTTATTTCTCGAACATTCAGGCCAGATAGATAGATATGAACAGATTTAGATAGATAGATAGATATAAACAAATTTAGATAGATAGATAGATAGATAGATAGATAGATAGATAGATATGAACAAATTTGAATAGATTGATAGATAGATAGATAAATAGGAACAGATTTAGATTGATAGATAGATAGATAGATAGATATGAAACAATTTAGATAAATAGATAGATAGATAGATAGATAGATATAAACAAACTTAGATAGATAGATAGATAAATATGAACAGATTTAAATAGATAGAAACAATTTAGATAGATAGATAGATATAAACAAATTTAGATAGATAGATAGAGAGATAGACAGATAGATATGAACAAATTTGAATAGATAGATAGATAGATAGATAGATAGATAGATAGATAGATAGATATGAAACAATTTAATAAATAGATAGATAGATAGATAGATAGATAGATATAAACAAATTTAGATAGATAGATAGATAGATAGATAGATAGATAGATAGATAGATAAACAAATTTAGATAGATATGAACAAATTTGAATAGATAGATAGATAGATAGATAGATAGATAGATAGATAGATATGAACAGATTTAGATAGATAGATAGATAGATAGATAGATAGATAGATAGATATTTGTCGCGATTTCTTCATAGATATATAAGTGTGTGTAAATTTTAGTATGGCATATCTGTATTTTTCCTCACATAGCGGTATCTCCTTTGCACTGACGACATCAGGTGGCATTTTCTTTGTTATGACAATGGCTGACGGTTACACAATGTTTACGTAACTGAGGTGTGAAAAGAACGACGCCATGAAAGACTATAACAATAATAATAATTGGAAAAATTGGAACACTTAATGTGGAAAGAAACCCTGAAAAATATGATGATCACAAGAAAAACAGGTCAGGGTGGGGACTAGCGAGTTACCCCTGGGATATGTCTAAATAAATTGATGGCAGTACAAGAACTTCAAAGGTAAAAAGGAAAATTAAGTTACTGAGAGCAACAAAAGAAAGCGGTTGTAGACAAAACACAATTGTCTTCCTCCTGAGAAAAAAAAAGACATAGTATATAAAAAAATATATTTAAAGAATCACGCGTTGAAAATTATTAATAGGGAAACTTAAAAGAATATAGTCTCTTTTTTGGTCGCTAGGATGAACTAAGAAGTAAATAAAAATTAAAAGTGTAAGAGAAATTTATGTTTGAAAGGAAGAAGAGGAAAAGTTTGAAATAAGAAGGAGAATACGCGGTACGATAGGTAAATTGTTGCCATTTTATATTTTTAATTTTGGGCATGCGCGTTGCTTGTTTTTTTTTATTTTTATTTTATCGACTGCACAGTATAGGAAGGTCACTTGGGCACCATTGTGAGAAATAAAAGCACCCTGATGCAATTCACTCCGCCAGAAATTTGGAAACGGCGTGCTGTACTGCTTGGCATTCGCGCCAGAAGCTTCAATACGAACAGGATGCTATTATAGCTTGAGGTCTACTTCAATAGAGCGTGAGGTCTACCTCTCATTTTATCTATAGCGTGAAGTTTAACTCAACATGCGTGATATTGCCTGAGTGTGTGCTCCTGTCGCTGAATCTATATAATGTCGCTGTTGATTCACTGTTGAATGTTGGTAACCCATGGCATTTAGCTTACTATAAGCAGGCCACTCATCTGAATGTATCGCCGAACCCAGTGACGGAAGGGGCACGGTAGACCTCCGCGCTGCACCTGAGTAGACGACGACATATTGAGGTAGAAGTCATGCTATAGTAGCATCCATCTCAGAGTGTTTCAGTGCAGAGGATTCGGAAAGAGTTCAATGAATCTAATGGTGATTACGAATGGCAGCTTGGAAAACTAAATTGTTCTGTTCAGAAAAGTACTCCCGAATTTGGTTTTTGGTTATCATGTGTTGCTGATTAAATTATATATCAGTGACTAGAAATCTCATACTTATAATGTGCACTATCTGTAACACGACACATATTTCAAGTCGGTAGTCCAGCTTCTGCCAAACACGCTGTAGCATGTCTTGCGTAACATTCTCCAGTGCCTCAGTGATTCTCTGCTTAAGTTCCTCTAGGCTTGTAGGATCTGCTTTGAATGGCGAAACATACAATAATGAATAAATCTTTCTTATAAAGATGGTAGATTTCGGATCAAATTCCTTGGGGCTTCATCGTCCACTGCACTTAGATGTAGGTTATAACAAAATGACTCTTCTTAAATCGTTAAAAATTAAAATAAAATTTGGCATTTTTTAAAATTTCGACCACTATCATGAAACGTTAATTTTGCAACATTTTTATTTCGGGGAAGTTAACCCATTAAAACCAGTGAGCAAATTCCTTTCCTTTGGTAATTAAATTCTCTCGAAAAAAAATACGCTAATGTCCTTAGTACAATTCAATTAAAAGCCATTCGGTGCTAACAAACAGAAAATACCATCGGTATTGGTTATGTGGAAGGCATTTCAAAGTGTGGCCCTGGAGTTTGTCTTATTAAATTTCAAATCGTAACAACTCCAAGGACTGGAGTAAATTTGTCATAATTCACCTTCATTTGCTTTCAATTTTCGATGGCAAATTTTCTAATTTTGGATCAGTTTTCCAAATTTGCTTTCTATAATTCTGTTTTAGACAATTTTATTCGAATTTTTAGGCTTGAAGTCTTCTTAAAACCAGGAACAACGGGGAAAAAATTGAAGAGAAAAAATAAAAATATCTTTTGCCCATTTTTATCGGCAAAATAAAAGCTTTGCAATTTGTAAAATTGCTTCATGCGAAAATTATATTTTTTTCATTCTTTTTTTCTTCTTTTATTTCTTTCTCATTGTTTTTAGTTTCTTTATTTCTTATTGTACTTTCTTTCTTTATTTCTTTATTCTTATAATTTCTTTTTTCTTTCTCATTAATCTTTCTTTTTTTTAATTCTTTCTCATTGTTTTTACTTTCTTTCTTATTGCACTTTATTTCTTTCTACTTGTACATTTTCTTTTTCCTTCTCATACTTATTTTTTCTTTCTTTCTCATTGTTCTTTCTTTCTTATTTTACTTTCTTTTTCTTTCGCACTGTTCTTTCTTTCTTTCTTTCTTTCTTTCTTATTGTCTATTCTTTCTTTCGTTCTTACTTTCTTTCTTTATTACTTTCTTTCTTTCTCATTGCACTTTCTTTCTTTCTTTCTTTCTTATTGTACATTCTTTCTTTCTTTCGTTCTTTCTTTCTTCATGTAAATTCTTTTTTCTTTTTTATTGTTCTTTCTTCTTATTTATTTCGTTCTCGTTGTTTTTTCTGTCTTTATTGTACATTTTTTCTTTCTTCTTTTCTTTCTTCTCATTCTTTCTTTCTTTCCCATTGTACTTTCTTTCTTTCTTTTTTCTAATTTCTATTTCATGACTTCTAAGGATTTAGTACGATGAATCTGCCCTTGTACTTTTGGATAATCCGCCCGCCTTGAAAACTGTCATTTTAAATCCTTTCATCTAATACCGTTCTCTGAATAACAGCAAAGACGCTATTATCTTCGCCACCAAGCATTTAAATTGATCATGTAAATATTGCAGGTTTTAATGCATGCTTTCTACGTGGAATGATTGTTACAACACATTTCGTTTTTCTATGTACCATATCCTTTCAGGATGTTGACGATCATGGCTCTCCATAACTTTCCAGCCTTCATAGCACTTCATAATGTTTGCCTCATTATTTTTTTTTTTTTAGCTTTTCACACCAAGAGTGGAGAGTGCCACTAACACAAAGAGTGAGAGCAACAGTAAACAGGGTTGTTTGAGGAAAGGATATGGAGAAGGACGAGGATCAGGATCAAAGCATCTGATGTCAATTGACATTACATTTGAATATATGAAGATTATAGCTATCAGGGAAGCAAGTAAGAGGAAAGGAGTTTCACTGTTGGGAAGTGCGGGAGAAGAAGCTGCTGGAGTAGAAGAGGCGGTTACATTTAACTGTTTCAACAGTGAAAGGGTGGGACCGAGATGCCAACCTAGTAGCACGCTTAAATTCATGCAGTTGGGGAATCAGTGAAAGTAGCTCGTCAAAGTAGTTGCCATGAAAATATTTGTAGAAAAGGCAGAGGGAAGCCACATCAAGTCTGTGAAAAAGTGACTGTAGTCGAAATGCCAGATCAGGACCTATCACATTGCATATCTATCTCTGGATTTTGTCGAGGACCTCAAGATGAACATCGGCGGCACCAGACCATATATGACAACGGTCTTTGTTCTATATTTACATAAACTTAATGTTATGCGTTTCTTCCGTCCGTCCCTCTTACGTTCGATATATCCTGTGAGTGTCCAATTCTCCAAGCCCTCTTTTTACTTTGTCTCAAAAATGGCTACTGTCTCTTTAAGTTTTCTTTTTTATTATATTTTCCTTAAAACTTCCTCCTTGCTCACATGCTCCGTCCATGGAATTCTCGGTAACCTTCTATACATTTGAATGATGCCATCTAACATCGCTTAATATTTACAACAGAATACTTTTCCACATTCGCGATTCAGAAATGTTCTTGTCCAAAATACATCTATATATTTTTTCCTGGAAATAATAAACATAAACTAAAAATTCTTGACGATATCTATATTAAAAAATTGAAACCAAACCTTAATAAAATTAATTATTCTGTCTATATTTCTGAGATGAGGTATTACGTACATTATTTATATTATTCGGACTATTGTCCTCATCTTTGTCGCCATATTTATTACAACGTTTCGACCGTTGTACGCTCCGGCCTTCTTCAGGTGGTTGAAATGTCGAACTGAACCCTTTATTTCGCTCACTGGGGTAGACTGTTCTAGTTCCACGTGCCATGTTTAATGGATGTCAGTTATCAGTTATCTCCTGTTAATTTCCTTCTCCAAGTTCTCCGCTGCCTTAACCGGGTATTGAACTCACACTCTTTGGGTCCTGTCACTGGATCTAACCAACGCCTTTATCCACTGTGCCATGTGTCCTCAAAGTAGGCAAAACTTGTCAAAATTATTCAATGAAACATGGCACATTATATAAAGGCGTTGGTTAGATCCAGTGACAGGACCCAAAGAGTGTGAGTTCAATACCAGGTTAAGGTAGTGGAGAACTTGGAGAAGGGAATTAACAGGAGATAACTGATAAGTGACATCCATTAGTCATGGCACGTGGAACTAGAACAGTCTACCCCAGTGAGCGAAATAAAGGGTTCAGTTCGACATTCCAACCACCTGAAGAAGGCCGGAGCGTACAATGGCCGAAACGTTGTAATAAATCTGGCGACAAAGATGAGGACGATAGTCCGAATAATGTAAACAATGAAAATTAATTATGAATACTGCACAAATGTCTTTAAAAGAGTACAGTAGATATTTTCAAATATTGAGGTTTGTACCAATGTTCTTAATACTTTTCAAAATGTAGCGTAAATGATCTTGTGTTCCTCTGACCTCACTCGTACAACATTAAATACCTATTTTTTTCAGTCCGCCATTTTTGAGCTTCCGCACACGTCTTTAATAGTTAATATTTAACAGCCCTCACCCATGATAGATGGATGTGGCACAAAGCCAAAATATTGTCAGTTTAATCCAATAGTAGGGGTCTGCTTACAGTACCAGGTGTTCCCAAGCGACCCCCCCTCT